CCCCCCCCAACATGAGATCATTTACTGTTTTCTGAGTTCGTGTAAAAGGAGTGACTAAAATACGCAAAATAACACACCCTGTGATTTTTTTTTTGTTTTCGGGCCCGCATATATCATGCAGCGCTACCATTTTGGGGCTCTTATTTCCTCGCCAATGCAGCGTGTGGTTCCAAATGTGCGTCGATTTTTCTCGAGTACCCTCTTTTGTCTAAGCCGTTTTTATCTGTTTTCGAATAAAATAAAGAAAAAAGCGAGTTAATAATCTCACAGAAATTAGACTCGAGGCCAGAAGTACTGAACTTCGCTTCAGATTTTTGGTGCTTGCGCTTACCTCAATCACTGTACTGGTTTTGGATCATCCCGGTGATAACTAGCAGCATGAATTATAAATTATCATGAAAATGTGACGATGAATTACGGGTTAGTGTTGTCCCGCGTGATGAAATGTGTGCTGTGTGTCTGCTTTCTCGTCTCCCGTTGTATTCGTGCTGGTTGGATTTGTATGATCACATATTTAAGGGAAATAAACAAACAAAAAAGAAAAAAACCGCGTTTGCAGCGCTTATTACTCTGTGTTCCCGGGAGTTTTAGCTTGATTTTAGTAGCACTTCCAAAGGGCACTGAGAATGAAGCAGAAAAAAAAGCTTCAAATTCGACGTGGAATTTATATTTATTTCTGGATGCCCTGAAGCAAACTCACTTCGAAAATATTGTAATAAAGAGGCAATACATTAGATTAATGGTTAGCATTGATGCAAATTCATAAAGGCACCTGTGCACTGGATGGTATTTGAAGTGCTGTTATAACAGCTACGATCCTGAAAGCGGCACTCTCCGAACAACAGAAATATGCGGTACAGCCACTGCCACTGCTGCTACTGCTGTCCAATTCATTCACGGATAATTGGAGGATATCTGTTGCCGGATTTGTCTTCAGCTCGTCATCGCGCACCCACAGTTCATTGAATACATACGTCCGTCGCCGAGCGTAAATTCGCTCCGGGAAACTAGACGTTTTTTCAGATACAGTGTTTTGTGCTTAAGAACCGGTGAAGGGGCCAAGTTAATTTAGTCCGGAGTGAAAACAAGTGAGATCACACTGATCTCCAGGAAGAACCAGGTTCAGGCCGGGCAAAAACAAGGTGAAGCATTTGTCGAACATCTTGAATTGTGAAGCTTATTAGCTTATGACTGACGTTTAAAGTTCGAAAAGAGAAGGACAGGAACTGGTAGGGGGAAAAGTAGTGTTCTCACCTGATACTATCATTTTCAGTGACTGCCTTTGTGATAAAACCGCGCGATCCCAGATGCGCCAGGATTGATTGTTGTCCCAGGAAATGACCTGAAAAAAGCAACAAAAAAAACTGACTGGTCACTCTGAATCGAGAACTTTAATTTGAAAGACAAGAAGCGACTACAACTTCCTGCCCAGCTGGTCTCGCTCGAGTCCTGTAGTGATTAGCATATTTTAGCTGTTTAAAAGCTTAAAATTTTCGCTCCGAACAGCTTTAGGGATCTCCGATTTCTCATTTCCAAGCCAGAAGTCAAAGCCTTCTTTGTAATCACTTTCTCTAAGAAGCGGAGGCATTCGGAAGTAGCCCGAGTGGTGGGTAGCACATGCGAATAGCAACAGTCCTTCGGTAAAGCTGCCGACTCACTTTCTCTTCCGGGGGTTACTTATAAACAAGCTACTGATGGTTTCGACCCGACTTGGCATGCTCCAGTACCAATTTACCATCGAAAGGGGCAATGAATAAATCGTAGATGGACTGGTTTTTCGAAAAAAGCGGACCAGCTCCTATGGCGAAGAAGTACTGGTTGCCGGTCCTCCATCGCAGCAGCTTGGCTATGCGTTGTGCCATTCGAATATTCCTCCGCTCAATGATGTCCTGGCGAAGCTGACTGTCAATCTGCAAAATTCTTTTATCCAACGAGTTTCACTTAGGCTACTTTCCAAATATCCAGTAGACTGAAATTTTTAGTTGTTTATACATTCAGTACGCAGAACCGATAATTTTCCCCGAATGCGCCAAACAAATCCGCGACAGCTGTGCTAAGCCCATCGATCCTAAGATCAGTGACTTTTAGTTGAAGTTTTGACTCGTTTACTTTATGGCACTCTGAGCCTTCCAAACTTCGGGCATTCTTCTGACTCATCTTCTCACTGAGTTTTTTATGAAAATACTTAAAAAAAAAAAAACTTCTCGTGCACGTCTGTCCACTTCAACGGCAATGGTGAATCCTTGCCGTCCGTCGAATGTCCGGGGACCGGCACTAAACAGCGATTCATCTAGCGAGCCACAATTGTAGCTGCTGATCAGATCCGCAATTCCGCTGTTCTTCGCTTGTGTCCCGTTTACTGTTAAATTGTGCTCAAATTCCAAATATGACAATGTGTAATTTATTGCGAACAATAGCTGAAAGTGGAAATTTTTAAAATTGCTTATCAGTCTTTGTCGCTCCTTTTTCCTGTTTGTGCATCCGTTTGCACTGCTTGGACTGGAAAAGAGGAGCAGGGTGCGGGAAAAACGAGTGCCGCTGGCAACAAACCACAGTACACTCGATTTCTGATTCAAAATGATTGATTTTTCGCATGAAAACATTTGTTATCATAGTTAGCGCACGGGGAAGCTATCATTTTTATGCGTTTTTGCATAATATGCAAATGCAAAAACGCATTTTGTGACCCGGGTGTGTGTGTATGTGTGTGCGCGCGTCTGTCCGGATATTTCAACTCGGCACCCAAGCAAGCTCCGGCGCCGAAATTTTG